ATTTCATGAAATGTCTAGAACAGGTAAGTCCATACATAATGAAAGCAGTGGTTACCAGGAGTTAAGGAAAGGGGAATGAAGTCTTGGCCAGTGGCAGGGGATTTTTCAGGAGGCTGAGATCTGAGGATTGAAGTTCAAAGCCAGCCAGGGCAGGAAAGCCCATGAGACTCCTATCTCCAGCACACTACTCACAGAAAGCCGGAAGTGGTGCTGTGGCTCAAGTGGTAGAGTGCTAGCCTTGAGCAAAAGAAGCTCAGGGACAGCGCCCAGGCCCAGAGTTGAAGCCTAAGGACCAGTCACACAAACAAACAATGAATAGTACACTTTAAAAGAAACAATTTCAGTGCTGATGGCACATAACTAATCCTTGCTACTCAGGAGGCAAAAAGCCAATTACCCGGACTAGGAAGGTGGCTCAGTGGTAGAGTACTTGCCTTTCATGCTTGAAGCCCTGGGTTCAATTCCTCAGCACTACATAAGCAGAAAAAGCCAGAGGTGGCACTGTGGCTCAAGTGGTAGAGTGCTAGCCTTGAGCTGAAGAGCTGAGGGACAGGGCGCCCAGGACCAGAGTTCAGGCCCCATGACTGGGAAAAAAAACTAAAACTCAATTAACCACCAAAACCCCAGAAATGGAACTGTGCTTCAAGTGGTAGAGCTACCTTTGAGCAAAAAAACTAAAGGACAACACCCAGGCACCTCAAAACAGCACAATATTAAACCCAGTTGTGTCTGTAATCCCAGCTAATTCGGAGGCTGAGATCCAGCTGGGGCACCCAAGTCCATGAGACTCTAACCAGCAAAAAGTTGGAAGTAAGCTAGGCACTGGTGGTTCCTGCCTATAATCCTAGCTGTTCAGGAGGCTGAGATCTAAGGATTGCAGTTGGAAGCCAGCCCAGGCAGGAAAGTCTCTGAGACTCATCTCTAATTGCCCACCAATAAACTGGCTCAAGTGGTAGAGAGCTAGCCTTAAGAGGAAACCCAAGTTCATGGCTTTTGAATTATATACCAAAAAAAAAAACCCCATTATGATGGGGCTGGGAAAGTGACTCAGTGGTAGAGCACTTGCCTTGTATGCATGAGGCCCTGGGTTCAATTCCTCAGCCCCACATAAGCAAAAAGAAAAAAGCCGGAAGTGGCACTGTGGCTCAAGTGGTAGAGTGCTAGCCTTGAGCTTGAAGAGTTGAGGGACGGTGCGCAGGCCGAGTTCAGGCCCCATGACTGGACCCCCCCAAAAAAACCAAACAAACATGCATGGAGAGGAATGGACAAAGAAGAATCACTAATTTTAGATGTGCTAAGTCTGGTAGTCTATAGGTAATATATCTTTCTTTCCTTTTTGTGTGTGTGTGTGCCAGCCCCAGAACTTGTACTCAGAGTTTGGGCATTATCCCTGAGTTTTTTAGCTCAAGGCTAACATTCTACCACTTGAACCACAGCTCCAATTTATTTTTGAGGTCTGCTATTTGTCTAAAACGACAGTGTCGGGTGCTGATGGCTCATGCCTGTAATCCTAGCTACTCAGCAGGCTTGAGATAGAGTAACAGTGGGTGAATATGACAAAAGTACATTATATGCACTGAGAATATCACAAGGAAACCATTTTTTTGGGAGGGGGGTCCCATCGTGGGGCCTGAACTCTGGGCCTGGGCGTGCTGTCCCTCAGCTCAAGGCGAGCGCTCTACCACTTGAGCCACAGCGCCACTTCCGGCTTTTTTCTTTTTGCTTATGTGGTACTGAGGAATTGAACCCAGGGCCTCATGCATGCAAGGCAAGCGCTCTACCACTGAGCCACCTTCCCAGTCCAAGGAAACCTTTTATACAATTAATATTCACTAATGAAAAAAGGGAGAAAAGTATCTCCACCCCTCCGGTTTTCTTTTCTTTCGTGTGTGTTTGTGTGTGTGCTGTTCCTGGGGCTTGAACTCGGGACTGGACGCTGTTCCTGTGCTTTTCAGCTGAAGGCTAGTGCTCTACCACTTGAGCCACAGTGCCACTTCCAGGGTTTTTGGTGGTTAATTGGAGAAAAGAGTCTTTGGGACTTTACTACCTGGGCTGGCTTTGAACTATGATCCTCAGATATCATCCTTCTGAGTGGTTAGGATTACAGGCGTGAGCCACCAGTGCCCGGCTATCCCCAAGGTTTTCGTGGCCTTAACTTTGCCCTCACATTCGCCCCTGCACCTTTTCCTTCCAGCCCTTCCCTTGGCTAGAACGCCATCAGTCCGTTGCTCCCAAGTCTGTAGGTGTGTACTGCCTGGCTGTCGGCTTCCCAGCGGAGCTCCATACTCGAGGTATCATTATACTAAGGTCCCTGCTACTATAAGAGGCACAAAGCTCCCTAACATAGCTAAACAGTTCGCCGCTAGGACCTGGAGCTCGGTTTCCGCGGCCGGCAGCTGGCAAGTAACTAACAGGAAACCGAAAGCTGCGAGGCGGAGCCTGGACAGGAAGAGCACGCCTGCGCACGGATGCCTAGCCTTATTTTCGCTGGCTGCCCCTGAACTGCGTTTTGATTGGCTAACATCGCGAGCTTCCCTTTGTATCGGTCAAAGCAGCTTCTCGTCCCGCCCACGGCGCTTTGCGTCGCTCTCTTCCGCTTTGCTAGGCAGTGACGAGCTTAGTTCCCAGGCTCTGATTGGTCCAGCAGCGCCGGGAACAAATTCCAAACGACAGGGCGGCGGGCATGCGCGCTGCTATGACCGCGCCCCAGCGATGGTGGGAGGGAGATTGCGGAGGTTCCCTGAGCGGCCCTGCCGAGTCCTTCCAGCCCCGCCCGGCCCGCTTTACTCTCGCTGTTCGCGAGTTGCGCTGCCGCTTCGCTCTCGGCCGCCCCCTCTGTCCACAGGCGTTTAAATCTGCAGGGCGGAGGTGGGAGCAATGGAGAGTAGAAAGGGAGGGGGAAAAGCCACAGGCTCGCTGGGCCTTTAGGGACCCATCTCCAGTTTTCCTCCGCCTCTGCAGCAACCTTCTCTGTGCAGCAGCCGCTTGTGTCCATGAGCTGAGGCTGGAAGACCCCGGGTGGGGCAGCACGAGCCCCTACCTGGTGGGAATGAGCTTCAGGAATGAGATGAATGCCTATCGAGTTCAACCTTTTCTTTCTTACCTCTCCCCCTGGAAGGCGGTAACCAGCCTTACAGTTGATCTCATCTTCCTCTGGTTCATCTTCCAAGTAGCGTACCTGGCACATCAACCCTCTTATTACCGCTCTGGATCTAGTGTACACTCCTCAGTGGGAGCCGATTGGCATTTGGGTTGTTAAGGGAGAAATTGGAGTTAAGGACAGAGCAGACAATAATAGGGCGTGGTTTCATTCAGGACTTTAAATGCCAAACAAATACCTCCAGAGCCAAGGTTACTCAGGGCTTTTATTTATTTCCACTATGACTTTATTTTATTATTATCGTTTTAGGATTTTTGATGTTGGTTTCTTTTTGCTTTGCACTCAGTATCCCGAGTGCACTCAGCGACTGAGTGGGACATGAGGTGCGTATTTCTATAGTCAGAAAATGAAAGCACTTCAAAGCCAGTTCCGGCAGCCATTTCCTGCGTGCTGGAATCCTGTGTGTGACTCTGCTGGGTGAATGAGACTTTGGGGAACCAATCAGGGTTCAGGCAGGTTTGTGAAAGCAGGTAGGATATGTTAGGTTAGCTAGTGAGGGTCATGAGTACCTGGATCTCTTTTAAGCATGAGCCAGTGGTGGCATGTGTGTCACCTGGCATAACTCATGTGTGGACATGCATGCACATGCATGTACAGAGCAGTGCAGGTTGCCTGCCTGGATGGGTGACTCCAACCTTGGTACTTTTGAATCAGCTGCTAGAAGTACAGGTCTTGGGCCTGCCAGGGTGTGGCTAGGTTGCTTGGAGGGTCATTGGGCATGTGGCAGTGTCTTGGAAAAGAGCCTTGGTACCGGAGATGAGGGAATAATTTTTTTTCCCCTTTCTGTAGCAGAATTCATTGCTCTAAAGTCAAAAGGCTTAGAAGGACCTCCACAGCCTACTTTGCCCTGCCCACAGATCTGCAGGTCAAGGTCATGTGGTCATGTCCAGTGCCCACAGGAGCACTTTGACTTCCTGTGCACATGTACACTGGTGCCTGCAAGCCCATGACACACAGTGCCTACCTGCTTTGCCTGTCTCCCACCATCTATCATAACCAGGGATTTCCCTCCTGACAAACCAGTTAATCTTGTGTGGCTTGTCATCTGCTGCCTCCTGGAGAAAAAACTGTTGCTCTGTGGCTTAGAGTTGGCAGAAGCCAAGGGAAACCCTATCACCACTGAGAGAAGACCCAAGACTAGCCCGAAGCTGGCTAAGCCCTTGTTCTGAAGGGGCTGCCTGGGAGAGGGCAGGTGCAGGCAATAGCAGAGAGGAGGCAGAAAAGTGTCTTCCGGCAGCAGGAAGTGGTAACCACCTATGGGGAAATGAGGCTTGTTCTTCCTTTTGGGGTTGAGCAGAAAGGGAACCAGAGCTGAACCCTGCTCCCTACCCCCAAGGGGGCCTGGAGGGAACACAGGCAGCTGCAGAACTTCCCACCTCAGCTCTCCAGGCTACTTGGGTCTCTCAGGCTGTAACTCAGGAAGCAGGCCGCATCTGGTGTTCTGGGAGCGTGGGGGAGGCAGGCAGCCCAGGGAGAATCCTGAGCCTAGAGCAGCTACGAGGCCACTGCTCGCTGGTATTCAGGGCCAGGGGCCATGGGAGGTGCCGGCGGTGATCAAAGCTAGCCTTCTGAAGATGGTGCCAGCCTGCCGGGCACCTCTTGTACTGACCGCTTAGTGGTGGCGCTTGGGCACAAGGTGGGCTAGGTGTAGGCCCAGGGGGAG